AGGGGTCCAATTTGTTTTTTAATGCTACATAAGATTTTCCACTTTTAACAATCCCATTTATGGTCTTTAGTGTTTTGTAATGCCAAAAAAGTGGCTAATTCTTGTGTTACAATGTCTATGACCTTTGACTCATGAGTGTGTAACTTACTGCCTGGAAATAAGTATCCATGAAGAAATTACAGGCACATAAAGGGGAGAAATTCTGCAGAACTTCGGCATATCCCATTAATGACTTCACTGTTCACTGTACTTGGGGCAGCTCTGTGGTAAAACGACGTGTTACAGGTTTCTGTCCCCTGCCAGAAACGGGAAAGTACTTGCTGTAATGTTTTCTTTGCTTACATTGGATGCATGCAGTGAAGCTGGTTTATTTTTGGTCATTTCCTGCCTATGAACACTGGGGTATTTTAGCCAACACTACCATAATAAAATACAATGTATAAAATAAATTTCCACACCTATGAATGTTGTAATAGAAATTCATAAAATACGTTATTATACGAATCAGCACCACTTACTCATTGGGAAAAGAATCTTCCGAAATATTCTAAGTCTTTCTGTTCTAGCCTGTTACGGAAAGCGTAAAGATCTTTAAACCCATAATCCTCGGAAATACTGTCTTTTTTCCATTTAGGCATCTAAGAGTGTATTTTCCATTTAACCTGGCTTTCAGGGACCGTTGCTTTATTGCATTAAGTTAATCGCCCTATCTCTTCTCAGAGTCCTCTGCTAATCAAGAAGGCAGAGAACATTTTTCTCATTTATTCTTATGTAAAGATTGAGTTGGATAAATGAAATTTGGACTTGGAATTAACTACTAAAGATCTTGAAGAGAATTTCTATTTGATGGCAGACTGCCTACAGTTATATAAATAATATGAGTTGGGACATGTACGTGGATGTGCACTGGGCTTCATGGGAAAACAGAGTTTAAAGCATTGATCCTCCATACAGGAATATCATGTTTCTTAGAGCATAAATTTACACGAGACGGGTAGGAGCTGGACCAGGGGACCCAGGCACCTCCTCTGAACCCCTGGCTCCTCCCTCTCCTTCATTCCCCACGGTCACTAAGTCCTACTTCTATGGTCAATTAAATACCTGGTGTATTTGTGTTCTCCTCATTTGCTGGTGACAATCCCTGAAGTGTACTGAACTGAGTATAAGATCCGGTTTAGTATTATTTCTAGTCTTCATAACAGCTCTGAAAAAACAGGTGTTACTGTCACCATTTTACACACGAGGAAACTGAAACTACAGGGAAATTAAGTCATTTGCCCCCAAAGTCCTCTGTTTATCAATGGCAGATGTGGGATTTGAACTAAGCTCTCTCCGATTTTCTTGCCACTTGTTCATTCATCTGCCGCCTTTCTTGTGACGGTCTTACACGGTCTGGGTGGCACTGCTGCCTGGTCTTCCTGCTAATCTCCCTCCACCCGGCCTCTCCCTGCTCCACCCTCCACAAAGGTGACCAGCACACCTGTCTTCAGTGGGTCCTTGAGGGCAGAGAACACATCTGATTTATCAACGTGCGTGACACATTGGACGTGCTTTCGAACTTGCGTTGAACACGGTCCTGATTCTTTTTTATTTGAAAGTCTCCTTCTGCTTCTCAGCCTTACAGGATAAAATCTGCCTTTTCAGCTTCATCTTCAGCTGCCACCCGCCGTGTGCTTCAGTGCTCCAGCCGTGTTGGAAGTGTCCTTAACTGAATATGTTACATATGATGAGGCTCCTGTGCCTTTCTTCATTATATTTTTTACCTAAAGTGTGCTTCCTTCTTCTCCTGCTTTTTTTAAAATGAAAGTGTAGTCAGTTTACGATGTTGTGTTAATTTCTGGAGTACCGTCTAGTTATTCACAAAAATGTACTCCTTGTCATACTCTTCCTCATTACAGGCCATTGCAAGGTGTTGAGTACAGCTCCCTGTGCTCTGTCGTAGGACCGCCTCCTGCTTCTGATGACATTCTGCTGTTCATCCTTCAGGGGCCCGTTCAGTTACTACCTCCCTCTGAAACCTGACTTCTCCCCACCCCAGGAAGACTTGGTCACTCCTTCCTCTGCATTTCCATAGCATGTTGTTTAAGTATTCGCTGTCTGACAGTAAGCATCTTCTATTAGAGTTAATGTAAATGTTTATCTTGCTTTCCGCCCTCCATCCAGGTTGGGAGCTCTTCAGGGACAGAGAAGTATGACTTTATCTTTCTATCCCCAATGCCTGACACGCAGCAGACTCTCCAGATCAATGTTTGTTTAATGAGGTTGAAATCATTTCAGTTTAGGAAGTATATCCCCTGCGTTTATTAATTTAACTTCAGCAGTTATATTTCTGGGACCATAGCCCAGAATAAAAGCGAAGCAATTTTTGATACATCCAAGAACTCCACCTGACGTCTGTGTCGGTGGTCCTTACCGATGCGGACGCGCTGGTTACCTCCGGACGGTGCCCTGTGCACAGTGGGCTTTCAGCAGGCGCTCGGTGCGTCAGTGAGTGAATGAAACGCGCAGTAATGCGGCGCGTGTTCGACCAAACAGCTGCGGACGCATCTGGCAGCCGCACGAGGAATACGCGAGGAGGAGCCCCAGCGAGTCAACACAGCGAGGAGACCGCCGGGCGACTTCCTGCGGAAGTCCGAGCACACCTTCCCTGAGCGGCAGGCTCCTCTGCCCTCGGCCCTCAGTCGGAAAGCGCCTGAAACGGGCGTCGTCTCGCCCGGCTGCTCACGGGCGCTTTGCCTCCTCCGGGGGAGGCGGGCCTGTCCGCGCCGGCAGCTCGCGCTCTGCCTTTGCCGGGAGTCCGGGCGGGGCCAGTGCGAGTCGGAGCCACGTCTGCTTTGCGTCGTGGCTGCTACTGCTGCTGCGGCTAGGGTCGCTTACTGTTCACTTACTTCCCTGGCCACTTGCTTAACAACCCTTCAAACAAAATAAATAATCCTTTCCTATGATAAACATTTTATTTTGCAGTTTATATTCTTAAACTTTTCCTCGTATGGAAAGGGTAAACAAGATGCTTCCAAAGGTAGGGTATGAAACAACACGACTTCCCAAAGGTTTATTCACGTTTTTGGTGCATCGCTCTGATTCCCCATCATTTTTGTTAGAACAAACTTCTTTTGCTGGGAGCCATGACATCCGGCGTCACTGCATCAACTGGCTGACTTTGTTCTTACCTTGCCTTGACTTCTTTATTATTGTCTCTGTCTCACCTGCAAAACCTTCTTATTAACCTTTATTCTTGTCTGTATCACTGATCCTGCCCCTTTGCTGAAACGA